ACTCAAGTAAGGACTGGGAAAACGGGAAAAAATGGAAGAAAAAACCAGCAAAGCTATTAGATGTAAAGATGCCACCTTCAGCTCAGAAAGCCCTGAGCACTGGAGGATGGGAGGAAAGGCTGGACAAATACCGCTACGTGCTTCCCTTTTTTTGATGCTCTTTGCTGGGCATTGGCTGTTAGCAAACCGATGGGATTCTGACCTGGGTGCACTTTAAGTCTGTCCCGTTCCTGGCACTCACCAGAGCACTTCCATGCACACGGTTGCAGTGAGTTATGTGTATGTGTTAGTCTCTTGATAGCTTACGACCCAACTATCTTAAAGACAATACACCTCCTCCAGAGAGCTCCTATTTGAGTCAGAACTGAGGCTACACAGGTGCTTATGCTGTTCATGCCAAAACCAAAGCAATTCCTAGTCTTGGGGACCACACACAACCCCCACAGCAGCATCCTCTAGCACAGGCTTGCTGCCATCCAAGATGGTCCCTCCCTGGCTCCTTAGTCCAGCAATCCAAACTGCACCTTGGAAAACTGCGGCTCTTAGGAGGAAGCCCAAGCAGTTTATACATTCTTACACTTTGGAGCAGGGATATGAAAACATATAAAGGCACGGACTGACTGGACAAGCACACTTTTCTGTTCAGTAGTGTAACGTGCGCTGTGTAGCATTTTGGATGTGATAATGATGCATTTTGGAAGTGATAATGTATGCACATGACAGGAGACATCGGCTTGAGCAAGTGAACGTGATGAGAAAGAAACCAATGCTGTACCGTCTCGGGCTGCTCTTCGATGCGTGGGGATCATGGGGGATAAGTGGTGCTGGGTCCTGTGACCCCAACTCCCCCAGGACAGCCCCATGACCAAGGGTGGGGAAGGAAAGGGAAGGTTTGTGCGGAGAGATGAGACCTTCCATCAGACCAGTTGTCATGGCAGGGAAGAACAGCAAGCTTTCTGGCACACGAGCCTCTAATCATCTCTGAAACAAGAGCAGCAAACTTCAGGCTAAATATAGCTCGGAAACAATCATTCTGACTTTAAATTAATGACGATGGTCAATTATAGGCTGGGACAAAAGGGCAGCTGGACCCTGTGAAGCATAAGAGGACATTGGCAAAGACAGTGGTAATAAATCCCTGCGGACAGAGAAGGAAGAGATACAATTAGAAATGGAAAAAACAATAACATGCTATAAAACCCCATAGCACCGGTGCATCCCTGATTCCGCTGCCTAGCAGTGCTGCGAGCTTCAGTTCCCAGGCTTGCCTTTCAGAAATGCTTTTACATCTCTCCTGAGGGTCAGGACAGTGCCAGGGCGGTGATTTGGGAATGGTTCCTCTCCAGCTGAGCAGGGTGAGGAGACCAGCTGGACCAGCCATGGTGCGGCCAGAGGGAGAGGTGCAAGCTCCCCGGAACTCACACAGGTCATCTGGGGAAAAAGGGATTTTTCAAATACTGCCATGCAGACACTGCTGTTCTACGAAACTAAGTATGCAGAAATATGCTGAAGGAATCAAAAAACCTAGCTCCTGGATTTTAAACGCTCAGTACAGGGACTGCTGCCTGAAGCATAAAACATGACGTGTACAAGAGTGAGCTAATGAACTCTAAACTGAAATGATGAACACAATCTATATTGGGTTTGAAGATCGATATATTGCAATTGGGTTTGAAGATTAGCTCAGCTTGCTTTCTACCCTCAAATGCTTTGTGTTCTGCAAAATGACCCATCCTTGACTTCACTAAATTATCTCTTTAGGCTCAGATTGGGACTCTCCACTTGCAGTCCAAAACCGTGAGCAGATGGAGCTCGGAGGAAGAAGTTCTCCAGTCTTCTGCATCACTTCCACGGCGCCTACAGCCCTGCTGCAAACACATGCGCTAAGCAGACTTTGATCAGGGACTGAAAAGCGAAGCAAACCCTTGGTATAACCTTCAGCATCCTTGGAGCAGCAGAAGCAGGACATCCCTCTGTCCCCCCGTCCCATGTCTCTAGGAAGCTAATTGACCTGTTGTTAAAGAGCTCCTGAGAAAATTTTGTTCTAGGATACAGGCATCACTCAGGCAGCACAGTGCGGACCAAAAGCAGGACAGAAAAGACCCTGACTTGCTCAGTGTTCCTCTTCTGTCTCCGTAAGAGTGAAAAAAATCAGTTAGTTCTGGTCATTTTCAGATTTTACCATAAACGATGCATGTCTATCTGAAATTTTGCTTTCCATGCCTGTTTTTCTTTCTTTTTCCTTTTATTGAGATTTTTGCAGGATCAAGTTAAAAAGTTCCTGGTAAAACCTCTAGACCTGCCTTAATGGTGGAGTTGTGTCTGGAGCACCCCAGATGACTTGGGCAATGGTCTCTACCCTCCGAAGGGAACCTAGAGCAGCTCAACAGCCTACAAGTGGTACTGCACGAGCAAGAGATGGAAGCCCAGGGCAGGTGGAGATGCAGTGATGCGCAGGTATCTGAATATGCTCAGTTTAGGAATACGGATGTTACAAATCCCATTATTCCTGTAGCACCTGTGTTGCTCAAACCACAGATTTTGAGGCCGGTGAAGACCCATACGGTCCAAATGACCAGCGCTGGCACATTTTTATCTGGGATTTCCTGGCCTGCGCGATGTCCATGTGTGCAGCGCAGCGCAGGCAGAGCAAACCAGACGCTTCCGGGAGGGCTCAGATCCCTGCACATGTGCTGCACAGATGGGCTGGGCTGGCGCAGTAAATCTGCCATTTTCCTCCACATTGGGCTTTCTCTGTGAGCACCAACCGACCCCGCTGCACACGTGCAGTAAATCCACCTCCAGAAGCAGCGGGACGAGCTCAGCCCGTGCTGTGCAGGCAATGCGGGCGAGTACTGTAGCGATGCTCCGTAATTCAGATGGGTGGCAGCCCCAGGGGATGCCCGTGCAGGATCCCTGGCTGGACTTCCATATATCAGAAACCTGGGCAAATGTAAAAGTCCTCGAATTCTGCTGGGGTAGCACCTCTAGGTAGGAAAACAGAACATCAGAGGCGTGTGGAGGAACAGGAGCCTCAGGCAGGGAGTCTGTGATACTGAGGATGAGACAAAGCCACTGAGCATATGTCCATCTCCTTACCCTTGCAGCTGCCCGTGTGCCAGCACCCCATGCCAGTATTACTACTTGTGGGGCCCTGCGTTGAGCTAAAACTGAGGCTCAAGCTTGCTTCTAAATAAGGACTGAGAAAAATGTAATTTAACGTCGCTCAGTCACCCGAACAGTTCACAGCTCTGTCCCAGAAATGCTAATACTGGCACAAGGAGGGACAGCATCTCATGGGTCAGGAATGAGCTGTGGAAGCGTGGGGCAGGAGGGCTGCAACACCATGAGAGGTACTGACACCAAAACTCTGTGTTGTGCAACCATGGCTCAAATCTGACCTCTCCCAGAGCATCTCCCATAACCACATCTCCCAGGACTGGAACTTTCACTTGAGCGTGGGCATGTCTCTGAAATAGATCTCCTGTCCTGATTCAATACTTGCCAGTCATGGAGCACTTACTGCAACCTTAAGCAAATTGCTCCCATGGTTAATTAGCCTCCAAGTATGTTATTTCTCATCTGAATGTGTCTGGCTTCAGCTTCCAGCCACTGGAACTTACTAGGTTTATTCCTGATACATTAAAGAGCCATCTGCATTTGGAAAGCTCTTTCCCATGCAGGTAACTGCAGATTGTCATCCTCTAAATAATAAAAAAAAAGTGATCCTGTAACAAAGAATGCAGCTGCGCAAGGAGACGAGTTACCATCGCACAGGCTCCCCGGGGTGATTTAGCATCATCATCTGACTCCTGGGTGCTGGACTTAACAAACGTGGTTATTTCACCTGTTACTCCCTGGAGCACTACAAAAGCAACCCCCCTGCCCAAGCCCCAAACGTAGGAGCAACACCAGCCTTCCGTGGGGGATCCCTCGAGCTGGGTGGCAGATATCTGCCCTTAGAGCCAGCAGTGGTGGCTAGAAATAGCCTGATCGTGTGTCTGAACTGGTTGGTGAAGGAGACTAAGGCACAAGCTTCACTCACTAATGTTTTCAGGCTCCAGAAACACAACCAAATACCTGCAGCAGCAGAGACAGGTGCTAGACCCAACTCATCCCAGCTGCTGCAAAGTCTTTGACCTGCAGTGCCAGATTTCAGACAGCGATTTCATGCTGGGGAGCAAATCCTGGTGGGGACCATGCATAAATCTGCTGCTATATTGTATTCTCTCTCTGCTCAACATCACCTTTCTTCAACTAACCTGATCTACGTTAGGGCTGCACAAGCCTTCTAGCAAAGAGGGCTTTATGTCCCAGACTGCCCCTCCCAGCCTTGGCAATCTGCACTCCAGGGACTCTGGAAGTTGCGTTTGGACCATGACGTTGCATTATCACTGACGCTTTTTCCCACCATTGATTTGTCCAGTCCCTTTCTGAACACACACCTCGGGCTGCCACAATATCTTGTGACAATGACTTCTACAATGCCATCGCATACCACACGAAAAAGCTTCCTTCTGCTTTCCAAAGCT